GGGTTTCCATACCAAGTCCTCGGCCATGGACTGTGCCCCGATGTCTATGGAGAGGCTGCTCAGCTGAGGGGGGTTCTGAAATTCACGATAGAAGGTCCCCAAGTCCATCGGAAGAATGTCGTCTTTAGAAAAAGCTGGTTTCTTCAAAAACAAAACCAGACTCAGTTTAGCTTACCATGGACCACAGAGGAAAATCAGAGATAAACAACCCTCTTTCCTTCTAGTAATTATAGAAGAGGTTGCTTCAGGCTTATCTTAGGGAGAGAAGTCTTTAAACCTTTTCTCTGCTGGGCAGCTGAATTCTAATCCTGCTAACATTCCTCTTCCCTGGTTAGGGTTATGTCACCTTCCTTTAAATTCCTTTCCTTAGCACAGGTATATCCATTGAGGCAGGAATAGAACCTACTGGAAAATCTCTCTTTAGAGCTGAATTGCATTATGAATGTCAACCAAACACATGGCATAACATACCTTATTGTTCATTGGCCTGCAAATGTCTCCCCAAGCAGGCTATGAGGGCAGGTTCCCCACATACACTGCCCAGCTGGGTGCCCAGCTATCCCATCCCTTCTGTCCATATAAGTCCAATTTTTCCCGTGAAGGAGGTCCTATCTGAGTGCAATGTATGCCTCTAGGTTTATTTCCCCTGGGGCAGCAGAGGTCAAGGAAGGCCACGGCAACTTACAAAGTCGATCATGACAAAGTCATCGTGGGTATTGCCACTGCTGCCACCGCTGGAGCCATCAGAGTGCAGGCTGCCCTGTAGAGGAGACTCGGTCTCTGGGGAATCCGGAGGATTCACCTGGTTCAGGATAAGGCAGAGGAAGGGGCTGGTTCTGTGCACTGGGGGCACGTTACTGTTAACAATCGAGGGTCTTGTGAGGGACCCAATACAGCTACAAATCCCTAAGTTGTGGGGCAGGGCTAATGGTCTGGGGAGGAACAGTGGAGGCCCAGGAAGGACAATGACTCCCATACCACCTCACTGGAAACTTCAGGCTCACCATGGGATCAGCATCCTCCAGCTCTAAATTCTTGGGAGCAAACATAGCAAAGGGTATGTCCAAACTGGTCAAAGTCACCTGAAGAGACAGGAGAAAGTATTAGTGCCCGCCCCTCCCTCAGCTTCCATAGAGGCTGCCAGAAGACTGGAGGCCCAGCAGGTTCACAACCAGGTTAACCAGGCTGCCTCTCAGGTTCCTGTTTTGGAGACCCCCCCCCCCC